TTTAAGCTGTTGATACATCATGTATGTCATTGATGATTTAAGCTGTTAATATGTCATGTATGTCATTGATGATTTAAGCTGTTGATACATCATGTATGTCATTGATGATTTAAGCTGTTGATATGTCATCATGTATGTCATTGATGATTTAAGCTGTTGATACATCATGTATGTCATTGATGATTTAAGCTGTTGATATGCCATGTAGATCTAGATCTCTATTTCATTTATGATTCATGCTGTATTCATGGAATTCTCTTCTGTAAAATGTGCTTTATGTGATGTTGGTCTATGAACATACACCCTGAAGAAATACTAGAATCTAGATCTAGATCTAAGTCTTAATCCAATACTATTGTTCACCCCATCTTTTCGGCCAACTGTCTTTGCCTCTTTGTTCATCTTCTATTTTCCCCTGTTAGAGAAATGTGCAACCTGTTCTTCCAACCCGGCATTTAAAAAAACAAAATTTTTGATTTCCCACTCTACAAAAGATGAAACCTGTTTCTGGAAGATGTGAATAAAACGTTTAGTGGTGGATTCACTTTGAATTAATTTATACAAATCAACACTACAAAGAACTACTCCACTCTTACCTCTGTGCACGCTAGGAGTCCGAACAACAAGTCGTAGCGTTCCAATGTAGGCAAATATTGGATCTATGTTGAGAGACAGACGGAAAACACAATAGAATCACTGATCAGTGTCCACTGTTTCCTCTTCCACTTGGCAAACGTAGCCTAGAATCCCCTTGTACAAGGAAAACTTTCTGGGCACAGTATCAACTGATAAAAGGTACGCATCTAATGATACGTAAACTGAATCTAAATCTCGGTTAAAAAACGAAATCGTAGGTTTTGAGTAGATCCATAGAACAGAAGTTAGAAGATTCTAAAGGCCAGAGCTTTTACGAGGAAGCTAAATTACAATAACAAGAGAGAGAGAGAGAGAGATGAGTGGGATGGAATGAGAGTGAGTGTAAGAGTCAGTCCCTCGAGTGAGCGAACACATCAGTGGCGATCCGCACGCGCGTGCTGGTTCATTCACCAACTAGGCCGCCCCCCGTTCTACTAGGCTAGGTCTCAAAGATAACAGAGAGAGGGAGTTCCCGTGAGTGGTGGGTGAAGGAAGGAATAGGGGAAAGGGGGG